ATCCGCTCGGGACTGCTCCAGGTTTAATTACCTGCTTCTCAGCCCGTGAAGCAATAGCATTCTGTCAGTCAGGTCAAGCACTAGTTTGTCTGACGTAGGTTGACGCTAACTTTTTCAGTTCCATGCTGATGATCTTTGCCTATTTTGTCGGAGCATCGAATTGTTGAACAGATGCCTTTTTCTGACGTTTTCTTGTTATTATTCATGTAATCAAAGGTGATTGCCACCAGTCTTCCATGGTGTAATACATCTATGAACTAATGATGAGTTTCCTTATTCAGTAGTAATATGCGAGAAAGACGCCAGTGTGCAACTTTCAGAACACTTCGTTTTAATCGCCGAGCTTGCCTTTCAGATCGCTATCGTTGACTGGGACGTGCATCACGGCAATGGTACCCAGATGATGTTCGAGGCGGAATCCAATGTACTTTATCTGTCACTGCACCGGTACGATGACGGTAGCTTCTTCCCGGGTACAGGTGCCGTATCAGAGGTCGGGAAGGGTGCCGGAAGCGGTTTCACTGTCAATATTGCATGGTCAGGCGAAACGATGGGGGACGCAGAATACTTGGCCGCTTGGCGGTCGGTCGTCATGCACGTGCTTAAACAGTTTGAACCGGATATAGTGCTGGTTTCAGCCGGTTTCGATGGTGCTCGTGGACATTGCTCAGCGTTGGGTGGATACCATCTGAGCACGGAAATGTTCGCATACATGACCGAGAAACTAACCGAGTTGTGCAGCCGTCTGGTGCTGGTGTTGGAGGGCGGCTACGAGCTTGAGGTATGCAATAAGGCAGCCGAAAAATGTTTGCGTGTTCTGGCAGAGAAGGCGCACTTTGACCTCCCAGAAGAAAGCGTCAAAGCGATTCCAAATCGCAGTGCCAGGGAGACACTTCGAAAGGTGGTCAGTGTGCATGAAAAGTATTGGAGCAACCTCTCAGACGACGGAATCGCGATGTCACACGAAGTGTGGGAGAAACTGCATATGAAAATGGAAGAGGACTGCTCGGACGAGTCATTCTGCGTCGTCGACGTGGTCAACACGAACAGTCCCAAACAAGAGGCACTAACGGATGCCGGCGGCGGTGGCGCAAAATCGTCAGTCGAATGATCGACCTACGAACTTATTCACTAGCCGACCAAAATGTTGTGCACTTTTGTTCTTGTTGCATTTCGTTGCTGTCGTCGTCACAATTCATATACATTCCCATTTTCATTTGTGTTGTGATTCACTTGAATTTGCACAATGCAGTTCATTGATGGAATTTTACGTTGTTCTTGCTTGATACTGCGGCGCCCATGGAGCTGTGCGGCTGTTAACGTGTGGTGCTCGTCCGACCTCATTGCTCGCTGCACAGGGCAGTGATGAAACTCGACGTGCAGTCAGGCAGGCCAACCCGGGCGTTCGACTTCTCGCCATTCGTTTCGTGGCGTTGTTCACCAGAGTCACTCGTCTTACGGCGGGCATTCAGCAGCTGTCATAATTATGAGCTAGGTTTCGGCACAAATATGTCACCGAGCTTATGCTTACTCGACTCTGTCGCGTTCACAATGCGTTTACCGTTTACCCGGTGTCAGGGTATAACTCTGCACGAGAGTCCAGCGGCGCTTTTGAAAAATACGATAAGAGGAGAAGCAGCTGCCTGCAACAGTAGAAGTACGCGCACTGTGCTACTGGTTGTTAGTCGTTCCGTGTCTTAGAAAATGTTTTCACCTGTACTTGTTTTTTTCACAGTGAATCCGTTCGCACGCTTCTCCCACCATCCACGGTAATACGACTTGAAGCGTTAAGTCGCTTTCTATGCATTCGGTTTATACACTTTGTGCGCATATTTGTTCCGATTTTATCTATTCTGTGCAAAATGTTCCTGCTGTTCGTCAGTAAACTTTCTGTTTATTGTTGTTCTGTTTTCAAGGTTCCGATAAACGTTTCCTCTGTCGTACACTATTTTTTAATTAGATTGTTCGAAAGCATGAAACTTTTCTGGTGATGCGCAGTGGGCAGGTGCCTGGTTCCATTGCCGGTACGGTGTAAATTTTTTTTTATTGTTCATTGCTTTAAACAAGGAATTCTGCTTCAATGAAACTGTCCGCCATATGAATAGTAGGCCATTTACCTGCTAACAATAGAGAGAGCATGGCGTTCCGATGCTTCATTCCAAAATGTGCGAGACTTGCTGTGTAATGTTGTTTGATGCTTGCGCCTGACCTGTCTGATGATACAACTCATGGACTTTCATGGTAGTTCACTAAAGCTAGTGTAGGCCGTAGGTTTACAATTGTTTAAACCTATACCTCGAATCAGTGTTGTTCCGGAGCCACAGCTTAAGATTTTTAACTTTCGGTCAAGAACTTAACCATCACATCTGTTTCTGATATGCGTAATTTCTGTCCAGCATGCACGACTTACCTTGTTCTCTGTTCGTCGTGAATGCTTCAGTTTTGAAACCTTTCGCCTTCCTGACAAATCATAAAAATGTAACAAAGGCGGTTGTGTGATTAAGGTAAGACGAACGATGCACAAGCTCAACGTATTTCCAAGGAAAGTTTGGTCATTTACTCAGCCATAAATTTAAATTTCAGGATCACGCGAAGAGTTAACGTGCGCTAGCACTTCAAGAATGCGAAAATACGTCTCTTTACCACCACCTCCAAGCATTCACTATTCTAACGACCGCCGGCAGGAAAGTCTGTCTTCATCATCCATTACCGCGTCTCCTTTCGGGTCGCGGAGGTAGACGCGTCAAACAGTACTTCCAACGTTCCACATCATGTGCCAGACTCTGAACTTCGACAAAAGACATCCGGAGTCTGGAACAGACTTATTCCGTATATTTGCAACAGTAAATCTTGGCCGTCCCCTGGGTCTTCTGCCAGTACGTTTGGCAAGAAAAACTTGCTTAGCTTTCCTTTCTGGAGGCGTTCTAAACATGTCCAAACCATCGCAGCAGTGACTTGTCAATCTCAAGAAGCACAGGCTGTACAGTAAGGCCCCCGGATGTCAGTATACTGGACTCTGACGAGACTCTTAACGCCAGCGACTAGTCTCAGAAAGCCTATTTCATACCCTTGTACCCATGGTCCACGACTCATAACCGCATCAGG